CACTTCCCACTTGTTCTCCTCATTCCAATCAGGCTGCATCCACCAGCACCTCAATGACCATCGATGTCTTGTCTTATTGCTAAATCACCTTCAAGTGTTACCTTACTTGACCTCTCTGTAGCACATGACAATTCTGATCATGTTTATCTTCTGTAGCACCCCAGTATTTTTTCCCTACCTCGTTGGTGTTCCTTCGCAGTGTCAATTTCCAGCCAATTGCTGTTCCTCAGCTCTCTGCCCAAGGAATTCTTGTGGTTTTTGTTCTCACTTTACATACACCTAATGGGTGAGCTCATCTATCCCTATACTTTCAATTTCCATCTATATACTGGTGACTCTTGCTATGAATTTATAACTGTTAGGGTGTCTTTGACAGCAAGATAAAGAAAATTCAACTCAACTGATTTTACCTACAACGAAGAGGATTAACTGAATTATGTAACAGAAAGTAGTGTTGAAATGCATTTCTAGGTCCACGATGGAGCTGCTCCTGCCCAGGGTGCCATGCAGCAAACCAAACTTAGATAACTTTCATGTTCATGTAAATGCTCTGCTTGACCAGAGCCACAGTATATTCAGCCAGCCAGTCCCCAAGTGCCAAGAATCTGTAATGACTTTCTAAATCTGAGACATGCAACTCCAGCCTATCAACTTAAGTCAAATACTCTTTACTTATTACCTGATTGACCTGCTGGCCTTATGTGAAAATTCCCAACCTCCTAGCCAGTCATGCCGGTTCTTCGTTGCTACTTTATTCTATAAATCTTGCTCTTGCCCAAACATCCCATGGGAAGAGTGCTCCACTGCTTGCGAGGCACTGTATTGTTTTGTTTTGTATTGTTTTCCCCAGTCCATGTATTGTTTTCCCTTGAATAGAGGACATCAAACTTGTTGCTGAACTGTTTTATTTTTGTCATTTGACAGTAGAGAGGAGGGGTGGTGTTCAGGCATAGTTCAGTCAGGACCGTGGCTGTTCTCCTGGAATTCTCTGTCTTCCTCCATTTAACTCCATTCAACATGACAATGCTGAGAAAAGACAGTGTGTTGCTTCACAAAGCATTGTCATAAATTCGAGGAAACTTCTTTCCTAGAAATCTTCATGAGAACTTTTCATGCTTATTATTGGCCCCAAATGGGTCCCATTGCCCAGGTGCTCATTCTTTAACCCATCCTGGTGGCTGAGGAAATATCATGACTTCCTGATTGATTTAGGCCTGCCAATCCCTGACTCCATCGCTGCGGCAATCACTGATTAGCTTAATCTAGACCCACCTCTGAAGATGGGGTCAGTTCCCCAAACTACATGGCTGCTATAAAATAAGGAATGGAATGAGTATGTTAAGGCAGCCACAGCATACCTCAGACCTATCTTATTAAGTGGCAAGAGACTCAAAATAAATCCTTGAAACAGTTATGCTAAGTATCTGAGAGGCTGGTGTATAGATACTGCTGGCCCTAAAATCTGCAGGAAATTGTTGTAAAAATAGTTCTAAGTGTGATACCATGAGGGCTTACACATCTTTGACCTTTGAAATAATTGGCTAAAAATAACTAGGGCTTACCTTGTTATGTAACTGATATTTTCTTAAAAAACAAAAAACAGCTGTGATTATTTTCTGATTACCTAGAAAAATACAGGCATCTAAAGCTGAATACCTCATATTACTGGGGCAGTGACCTGCATTTTCTTGGTCTTGAAAAACCAAGTAATCAGTGGGAAGACCTAGATGGACAGCTGGGCAGCACTCAACGGATAGGAAGGACCATGAACTCCTGCCCTTATCTGCTCTGTCAAGGTCTTCCATGGTCTTCCAAGGTCTAATTAGCTCCCAGAGCAACAGAGGATTCTTTCAAAAAGTGACTGTATTCATAAGTAAATGCATGTGCTGTCACTGCTATTTGACCTCTTCTTTAAAAGCAAACCAGTACAATTTCCAGATCTATAGCTCCAAGCCTATATTTTCCAGACACTTGGATATCCATGTCCAAAATTTAAAATTTCCTCTTCAGAAAAAACCCTTTAACCCTCTCAGCTCAATACATAGCACCACCATATGCTACTTAATTCTCCAAACCCAAAACCTAGAAATTAGCCTTGACTCTTCACTTTCCCCTACCCTAACCCCAACCCCAGTCAATCTCTAAATTCTATCACTTCTACCTCCATTACCTCTTGAATCTGTCTGCCCATTCCACTGCTATTACTTTAGCTTAAGATATCATCAAAAGACTCCCATGGGGGCTCTGAACCTCCACCTGTGACCTCTACAATTCGCTCACCACTGAACACCTTTAGATTTCTTTCTAAAACTCATCTTTCCTATGCATGCTCTGTCCTTGCTTAAAACCTATGACTCTGTCCAAAGTCCTCCAAACAAAACCTAAATTGTTTTTACATAACACACACCATCAGACCCCATTTTAGCTTTCTAATCAGGAGAGGGCAAAGCACCAGCCAGCCAAATCCAGCCCACTACTTATTTTTATACAATTTCAGGTTTTTACATTTTTAAATTGTTGAAAGACGTCAAAAGATCATTGAATTCTTCATTCCATGACACTGAAAACTATGAAATTCAAACTCCTGTGTCCTTTAATAAAGTTTTATTGGAACATGGTCCCTTCTGTTCATACTGTCTATGGCTACTTTTGAGATACAAGTTGAATAGTTGTGACTAAGCCAGTATGGCCTACAAATTCTAAAATATTTACTATCTGGCTGTTTATAGAAAAAGTTTTCCAACCCCTGTTCTACACTCCTCTCTCACCCCTCTCTGCTGTAGCCACCCCAAACAATTTGAAATCCCTAACAGATCACCCTTTTCTCTTTGACCTGCTTGGCCCACCCCTTCATGGATGGTGTCATAACATTTAACAGTTATTTGGATTGTCGTTTTACTTGTCTGGTGCAAGTGTTCACCACTGAATCCTCAGCACCCAGCACAATCCCTGACCTCCTTCAGTGTTTCATAAATATGTGTTGATGAATGAGCAGCACCCTGACGAGATGAACAAGACTGGGTTCCAACTTTCAAGAGCTTNATGTGCAGCACCCTGACGAGATGAACAAGACTGGGTTCCAACTTTCAAGAGCTTACAAAGGGAAGTCAGTAATATAAACAACAAGTTAATCTACATGGAAGAATGAAAAAGCACTAAAAAGTAGCATTTACTCTGCAGCATATCCAAGGAGAGATAATTCCACTTGGAGAAAGGTGCCCCTTCTTTATGAGGAAAGAGTAAAAAAAATAAAATGGAATCACTCTGGTCAAGTTGCTAAATTTTTAAATCGAGTAGGTTGAGGTATGACAAAACAATCCTGGTCTGTCTTTAACTAGCCTGGGAACTTAAATATATGAACTTTCCCGTTGTGCCCAGAGATAAATATATATATTGTTGATGAAAGAATATCCAGTTTAAGAAAAAGTCTTATAAGAGTTTATTTGAACCAGACTGACAATTGCTGGGAAGTAGAATCTCAACAGATTGAGAAAATGCTCCAGAGAATAGCACTTTTGCAGCTTATTTTATATGTTAGACTCAAAGGAGAAGCCATAAGGAGGGTTACATGAAATTCATCTGTTATAGATTAGGGAGGCAGGAGAAAGCAAAATAGGTAAATCTCTGAGATTGGCTAAAAAACAAAACATATAGAGACACATACTTCTTTTATATGGGTGGGTACAGGATAGTTAATAATTAACATTTACAGCACACAGAGATGGCATGCAGGGGGATAAGATAACAATGAGGGAGTCTGTGGTCTCATGCTCTGGTGCCCCAGGTGCCTTCTTCCAGAGGTCTGGAAAAACAAACTGACATTTCAAAGGTATGTTATCTTAGATACACAAAGACAATAGACAATTCCAAAGGTAAAGACTGACCTTTGTCAAGGAAGCTACAGGCCTGAGACCTGACTACCCACCTTGGCCCGCTCTGAGTTAGGAATTTTTACGTTCAGACCACCCTGTGTGGTCACCTTCCATTTCTGGGCTTGAGGCCTGCAGGCGTCCCCCGAGCTTGTCAGGCGCACGCCGGCCCCACTTAGGCTGGAACCTTCTGAAGAGCTGGAAAGAATGTTACGTCTCCAGACCACCTGGCATCTGGCTGATTACCATCTTGAACTAATCCAAAGGCTGAGAATGCAGGGCTGATTCTTCTCAAGAATGTGACTTTTTACTATAAAAACTCTCAGCTTAAGATTGCAATAACTTGGCACAGTGACAGATGGTTACGAGACTTAATGTGGTGATCGCATCATAAGGTCCAGACATGTCAAATCACTATGCTGCACACCTGAAACTAATAGAATACCCTATGCCAATTATAATTTTAAAAAACTGCAAACAAAAACAGCTTTTCTTCTTCGCAACACTGTGGGTAGTGCCTAGTTGTGTTTCTGACTTGAGTATCCTAGGATCCTTTAGTAATTCTCTGTCATTTATTTCTAGCCAAAGCCTCCTTACTGTAGAATCTTTTCTGATTTGAATATAAAACCCCTTCCTCCGTGATGAAATTCTTTCGGAACTTTTTTTGTTGGCATGTAATGTCCTCATCTGTAAAACAAGGCTCAATAATTCCAACTTGACAGGATTAAGTGAATATGGTTAATGACTGAAGGCACGAAGCGCAGCGCGCGCTTCACATACAGCGCTCAGTAAACAGCCGTGAGCCCCAGCTCCTCTAAAACGCTCGGTCTAACAGGAGTGGAGCCTCCGGCGCGCACAGCCAAACGCACGGCCCAGCACCAAATGCTTCGCTGTAGTAAGAGCAGCAACCCCTCGGCGACGCGCGGCAGGAGGTGCGCCGAGCCAGGCTGCGCGCGGGGCTGGAACTCCCGCGGAAACCGCCCGCAGCTGGAGCCCGCGAGGCGGAAGAACTACAACTCCCATAGTGCCTCACGCGAGTTTAGGGCTCCTCTACATTTTATGACTCCAGCCCCCGCCGCGAAGCTCTCAAAGACTCCATCCCAAGGGTTCTCTCTTCGCCTTTCAGTCCCGAGCGTGGCGCCGTCCCAGTCTTCGGAAGAGACCGCGTGACGTCACGAGGTCCTACGCATTGTGTGGAGAGCAGGAGTTGGAGGACGGTCTCCGGCTGGGTTCGGCGGCCCTGGGACTGCGGAAGAGGCTCTGGAGGGCCGCCGCGATGCTCCACCCGGAGCCGGTCAGTCAGCTCCTGGATCTGTGAGTGCACCCTGTCCCCGCCTCTTCTTCGCCCCGGCCCAGTTTGGCGCTGCTCTCCCTCCCGCCCCCTTTCCACCCCCGGACCAACGTAGAGGCCCAGCTGGTGTTTCTCCTCCTGGGTGCCTGGTTTGTCGTCTCCTCGGTGAAGACCGTTGTGCCCAAGCGGGCGGCTGGGCAGGGCGGCCCCTCCGGCCTCTGGCCTGGGCGTCCCAGGTGGTGTCCGAATCCTCAGCCAGCCTTCACAGCTCGGCGCCCCGGTAGTTCCTGGCAGGGGCCTGCCTGTGGGGGCTGAAGCGCGGTTGAACAAAACACTAGATGGGCTGTCCAAAGCCTTCAGCCAAGTTCCACGCAGTGCCTGTAACCGGGCTAAATATTGATTCTTTGAGGCAGCGTGAGATACCTGGGTGCATCTCTGCCTTTCCCAGCTGTGTGGCCGTGGGAGAGGAACAGCCTCTCTCTGTGCCCAGTGCTTAGCTATAGAATTAGCGTAACAGTACCTGTGTCGTGGAGCTGTAGTGAGAGATTAACTTAACACTAAAGCCCTTAGAAGGATACTTAGTGTCAAAAGACATTTCAGAGAGCTTTACTTGATGTGAATATTTTATTGAGTGAGACAGTAGCTCAGAGGCATGTGGTTAGGATGGCTTATAAAGTGAGACGGAGGGAGTTGCTTAACCTTTAGGATGGTGGTTATCATGGGAGTTTTCAGACAGCAGGGGACTGGTTAAAAGTGATTATCTTATATTATTTTAGGAGGGCCATTTCTAGAAGAAAACATAGGAGAATGTCTTCATGAACTTAGGTCAGTGTAAGAGCTCATAAACAGACACCAAAAAATACGTATAAAGAAAACACTCATGTAGTGAACTTCGTTAGGATGTATTTTTGTTCAGCAGAAAACATGATTAAGAGAGTGAAAAGGCAATCCACAGAATGGGAGATATATTTGCAACATTTATAACCAATAGAAGGCACATGTCTAGAATATAAGAGGAATTCCTACATATCAGCAAGTAAAACAGTCAACCCAAAAGAAAACTGGGCAAGATACGTAAATAGATACTCCATAAGAGACCATCCAACTGCTCAATAAAGAAATGAAAATGCACTCAAATTAATAATCAGGTATTGTAATTTAAAGCCACAATGCATTGCTACTATACACTCGCTAAACTGGCTAAAATTAAAAAAAATGGCAATGCCAAGTGTTGACAAGGATGTGGATTCCAGGAACTCTCATCAACTGATGGTAAGATTGTAATTAGTATAAACACTTTGGAAAACCAGGTGGCATGAAGCTAACATATGTATACCCCGTGAGCCAGCATGTCTACTCCTAGATATGTATTCAATTGAAAACACAGGTACATGTGCACAGGAAGACATGTCCAACAGTATTCATATAAATATTAAGAATAGTAAAAAATTATAAACTACCCAACTGTGCAACAACAGTAGAATAAGTTGTTCAGATGGTGGAATATTATGCAGGAGTGAAAATGGACATGAACAAACTGAAAATCAAAATGAACAAAATATAGCTATCTGCATCAACGCAGATGACTCTTGCAAACATATTAACAAAAGAAGTCAAAGATGGTAGAGCAATGTTAAAGCCAGACTGAATAGAATCTTAAGTGAAAAACATTAATATGGGTAGAGAAAAACACGACTTAATAATAAAAGGACTATTCCACCAAAAAGTAGAATGATCATGAATTTACAACTAACATCATAGTCTTCTTAAAAAAAATTGTCACGAGTACATGGACAGTTGACAAATTCAGTCATAGTAGAAACTCCATACACTACATTTAATAAAGTACCCTATGTTACTTGTGGATTTACTTTAGTATTAAAAGTATAATAAAATCATATACAGAAACTTTTAAAAACTTTAGGATAGACATCTGTAATATTTTAAACAAAAATAAAAATTATACATTAAAAATAAATAAATAAAAACATTAGGATAGTAGTTGCCTCTGAAAGGGAAGTAAAGAGAGTAAGCCTGATTAAGTGTTCAAAGGAGGCTTTAATTGTATCTGAAATGTTTTATGTTTTAAGAAGGATATCTGATATGATACAATAGTAGCATTTTAAACTTCTAGGTTTTGGGTACATGAATTTATATCATTCTCTTTTATTTTCCTGTGTTTTTGAAAAACTTTATTTTAAAACAGTAAGCATATAAATTAGCAAAAACTAGTACAGATGAAAGGAAAACTTTCAAAATACAAGTATTGTAAACTAAGAATTCTACAGATTTAGAAGAAAAAAATAAGAATTAAATAATACTATCAATAAGCAATCATATATTCACATAATATATTCACAGAGCTATTTAGATACATATATATAAAATACAGAGAGAGAGAACATTGCATCTCTCAAATAGAGAATATACATTGTCTGAATATTTATAGAGCATATACAAAATCAGTCATGTATTTGACCGCAAAAACAACTCTTACAAATTTAAGTAAAAAAATAGCAAAATGGACAAAGGCTATGAATAGACAGTTTAGAGAATAGTATATCTAGACAGCCAGAAAATTCATGAAAAAATGTTGTTTACTAGTAATTAGAGAAATACAGATTAGAGTAATAATGAGATACCACTTTTCACCCATTAAGATCTTCCAACATTTAAAAGTAGGTATGTCTTGCCTGGCCAGCTTGGCTCTGTGGTTGAGTGTCGACCATGTACCAAGAATTCCCCCATTTGATTCCTGGTCAGGGCACATGCCTGGTTTTCGGGCAAGATCCCTAGCAGGGGGCAAGCAGGAGGCAGCCGATCGATTCGATACATCGATGTTTTCTATCTCTCCCTTCTTCTCTCTCTAAAATCAATAAAAACATATATTTTTTAAAAACCATAGTGCTGAGTGAAAAACTAAACAAATCTATGACAAATACCATATACATAAGTTAGAAAGACATGCATACAGCAATCGTGTGTAAAGGACAAATACAACAAAAAGAGATGCACAGTAGACATTAGAATGGTTTCCTGGAGTGATGGAGGATGGGATTGGGAAATGGAGATAATGAAAATAAATGGTAAAATAAATAAATAAAATGAACAGTAATACCTACTGCTTGAGGGATGTAGAGGGAAAGGAACCCTCCAATACTGATAGAAATACCAGGTATTACAGGCTTCCTGGAAAACAGTCTGACAATATATGTTAACATATTCTAGAAACAGTGGAATGCTTATCAATAGGAGAATGACAAAGTAAATCATACACACTAACATATTAGATAGCTATTAAAGGAGAATTAAAACTGTACTTGAGCCCTAGCCAGTTTTGCTCAGTGGTTAGAGCGTTGGCCTGGGGACTTCAGAGTCTCGGGTTCGAGTCCAGTCAAAGGCACATACCTCAGTTGCAGGTTCAATCCCAGGCCCTGGTTAGGGCGCATGCAGGAGGCAACCAATCGATGTGTCTCTCTCACATCAGTGTTCCCACCCCCCCACACTCTTCTTCTCTCCTTCCCTCCCTCCCTTCCACTCTCTCTGAAAAGCAATGGAAAAAATATCCTCAGGTGAGTATTAAAACAGCAACAAAACTATACTTGACACTTTAAAGAATTTCATAAGATATTAAATAAGATAAGGTAGAAAAGTGAGTATAGAATGCTGCCATTTTATGAAATTAGTCCTCCTCTCACCCTTTAAGTGTATATGTGAGTATATGTGTGTGTACAAGCACAGAGAAAAATATGAAAGGGCAGACACTAGGCATGAAGAATTAAACTAATGAAAAGGGAAAGGATAGTGAAAGGCAGATGCCACCAAAAGAAAAAAATAAAAAATAAAAATTGTGCTAAAAAAATTCAAGTGAGTGACCACATTTACCCATGAATGTAAAATTATGTATACATGGGGGTATTTGTAGGTGGAAATTAAATAAGATTTATATTTATTTGTTTAAAGTATGAGTTTCTCAGATAGTTGGAATTTCAGGCTACATGTGCATATGTTGATCATATGGGTCTTGGTTGTTGCCTGCTGTGATAACTCTGGTTTTAAGCATATACAGTCCTGGCACTAAGTTTGTTTTCTCTATGATTTGTACTATTTGTGGAATCTCTGTGATTATAGTTTCCTCTAGTGATTTCATTACCTGCATAATTTTTAAGAAAAATAGTGAATACAGGTTTGATGGTTAACAGATAAAACTTGTCAATTAGAAGGCCCTTACTTAGGACTATGGGACTGAAATGTCTTAGGATTTAGAGAGACTGACTTAGGAAAAACACTTTTTTTGATCATACAGAATGCATTTTAGCAAATGAGGCATGCAAGAAAAAAGGTTAAAAATCACAGCAGTTAAAAATCACTTCTAAGAGGAAGAATGGCTTGGTCGTTACTGAGCACAGACTAAGCATTTGAATCTTCTGAAGCTTAAGTTGTAAATATTAATATAAAATGTACACCCTCTTCAGCAATGTTGTAACAGCTATATATGGTGCCAGGTGGGTACTGGAAATATTAGGGGGAACACTTTGTAAAGTATATGATTGTCTAACCACTATGCTGTACAGCTGAAATTAATACAGAATAATATTAAATGTAAACTGTAATTGAAAAATAAAATTTTAAAAATGTACTCTCTTTATGAAAGAACTAAGTGCTAACAAACAGCATTAAATAAATACTAAGAATCAATACTGATACAGTATAATTTACCATATTACATTTGTATTTCAGATGCCTTTGGTGCTTCACGAAGAATATTTCCAGATATATCACAGACATTAAGCCTTTGCCTCCCAACATAAAAGATAGACTGATTAGAATGATGAGCCTGCAGGGACAGATAACAGATTCAAATATAAGTGAGGTAAGAGTATGTACAACTATAAAACAAGCATATTATATTTTATTGTTTTGGTATGGTTTCAGAGTTCTAGAGCAATGGTATATAGTAGGATTAATAATAATTTTAAAATATAATAAACCATCAGGGTTCTTTTTCTCTCGAGATAACCAAAATGTTCACGTGTAATAGTCCTAAAACATCTTCTACCATTCTTTCAGTTACTTCCCTTGTCTTCATAGTACCAGCACCCTTGATCTCCATGTTTTCAAAAAGTTTTAAACTCTGTGATCAATTATACTTCAATAAAGCTGGAAAAGGTTTAATGCAAGGTGAATAAACAGACAGTGAAAAAAAAGGCCCAGGATAAGAAATATATGTAACATTGTGACTCTAGTACACAAACTGTACTTACTTGTAACAATACAGCAAGTCCTCCAATAACATCATTTTGTTATAATGTTGATGAGATGCCATAGGAACTTAACTCTTATTTTTATCAGTTAGCCTATAAAATTGATTTCAGTATATGTCATTTGACTTAAAGTTATAGGACTTATCAATGTTGTTAAGTGAGAACTCACTGTATTGTGTGCAGTACACTTGGATATTATCTATTTTATTCTATTATGTCTTATTTCCTTTAAAAATGTTGATCGCAGCCTACTAGATTGATTTTATCTATTCATGGATAACAATCAGCAGTTAAAAATCACTCTTCTCGCCTGCCCGGGCGTGGCTCAACGGTTGAGCATCGACCTAGGATCCAGGCGATCGGGGTTCGATTCCCGGTGAGGGCACATGCCTGGGTTGCGGGCTCGATCCCCAGATGGGGGCATGCAGGAGGCAGCTGATCAGTGACTCTCTCATCATTGATGTTTCTATTTCTCTCTCTCCCTTTCCTTTCCTCTCTCTGAGATCAATAAAGATGATGAATATAAAAAATAAAATAAAATAAAGTAGGTGCCAATATTAAAAAAAAAAATCACTCTTCTAAACTATTCTCACTTCTCTTCTGGATACCTCACTCCTACTAATTTATACTTATTCCTTTCCCTGCAACCTAGCTAAAATTGGCTATTCTTTAAGGCAGTCATATAGTAAGGGTCTCCCACCTGAATTAAAATCCTGGCTTTGCCCTGGCCAGCGTGACTCAGTAGCTAGAGGGTTGGCCTGCTGACTGGAGGGTCTCAGGATCGATTCCCAGTCAAGGGCACATACCTCAGTTGCAGGTCCAATCCCCGCCCCAGGTCAGGGCACATGTGGGAGGCAACCAGTTGTTGTAACTCTGTCACATCGATGTTTTTCTCTCTTTCTCGTCTCTCTCTCAGCCTCCCCTCCACCCTCCCTTCCACTCTCTAAAAAAAAAAAAAATCAATGGAAAAAATATCCTCACTCTTTGGATGAGAATTAAAAAAAAAATCCTGGTTTTGCCACTCTTCCTGACATTGAGCCTCAGTTTTGTTTTTTGTCTTTTTAAGAGAACTTTGCTTATATTTTTAAAAAGGAAGAAAAGAGAGGAAAGAAAGAAGGCAGAGAAGAATCAAAACAGGAAAGATACTGAAAAAAAAAACTTCCCCAGGCCTACCTCCCATCCCTAAGACAGTGTTCCCAAGTCCTGCACGTATGTGTGTGCGTGCGTGCGTGCGCGCGTGCGTGCGTGTGTGTGTGTGTGTGTGTGTGTATGTGTGTGTAGGCTGCTAACACCATGAGAGTGTCCCAGGGCAGGTCAAGTTGTTGTCACTGTCCAAGCCCCCTCCCTGCTTTCTCTGTAGGGCCCCAGCTTCACCTGCTGTCACATGGGGTGTGTGTGTGTGGGGGGGGGTAAGTGAGTCTCTGGGGTTACAGCCATCATCACTGTCTACAGAGATTAAAACTACAGTAGTCCCCCCTCTCTGTGGGGGATACATTCCAAAACTCCCAGGGTATGCCTGAAAGTGTGTATAGTACTGAACCTTGTATATACTATGTTTTTTCCTATATGTATATACCTTTTCACTTAAAGGAAGCCGTTTATGGCTTCTCTTGGGCATATCTGAATTGCCAGCATCATTACTCTTGTACTTTGAGGCCATTATTAAGTAAAATAAGGGTTACTTGAACACAAGCACTGCAATACCATGACAGTCAATCCGATCACTTAGATGGCCACTGAGTGACTAATGGGCAGGTAGGGTATACAGTGTGGATACACTTGACAAAGGGATGATTCACATCCCAGGCAGGATGGAATAGGACAGTGAAAGATTTCATCATGCTACTCAGGATGGCGCACAACTTAAAACTTATGAATTCTTTATTTCTGGAATTTTCCATTCAATATTTTTGGACCATGATTGACCACGGGTACCTGAAACTAGGGAAAGTGAAACTGGAGATGGGGAGGACTACTGTACTAATTGATGTCTTTACCACACATTCTCCCCAAAGCCTGTGATCAAAAGGAAACAAACTCTGATGGTAGCACTCCAGCATATGACTGTGCCTGTGACTTCACATTGTTACTGTGCTTCAGTGTGTCTTAGTGTTTCTTCTACATCAACCTGATGCACCTTTAATGCTTTATTTCCCTCATGTTGGCTTGCATTTGAACATAGGCATTTTAGTGTTGTAGTCTACTTGTCTCTAAGAAGGTGGAGTAATACCAAGTTCTTACTGTTGATGGGTCTGTGGATATATATAATTTATGTGTGGCTCTCGGATGAAACATAATACTGCAGAAAACTGGTGAGTTTCCTCCCTTCCCCACCGTCCCCACTTAATCTATATTTCAGTGATTTAAAATTTTTTATGGCAACCTTTAATATTCATTTAAGCTTAATTTCACCTGAATAGAAATGGGCTAAGGGGATGAATGAGATAGAAAAAATAAAAGTGTGATTTTCCTTGGTGCTCTTCCCCTAACCTCCATCCTTACAAGAGTCCTGCTTATGAAACGAGATCTAACTTCTGTTGTAAATTGGCACACATCTTTGGATAGCTCTCTTTGAAATATTTTCTTTTTATAGTCTGAATGGAGAAGGCCTTTTTTAACATGGCACTGTGAAAGAAAAACAGCAAAATGGAGTTGATAATGTCAAGAGAGCAATCTAAAATGGAGCCAGGAGGCCTCCAAGAAGCTCAGCTAACACAACCCCTTTATATGAAGTTGAACTTTTAAAGTGAGCTAAACCACAAATGGCTACATCCTGCTACAGTTTTTGGAACTGGCTCTGTATCACTGAACTGTCTATTAAGAAATAAAATTTTCACTTAGCGATAGACACAAGCAATCAATTATGTATAGCACAATATAAGCCCACTTGCCAGCACCAATCACAGCTCTTCCAAAACAACTTGCGTAACCTTTTGGAAACCCCCCCTTTTCAGTTTTTATAAACTCTCTTTCCCCCTTAGAACACAGTTGGGTTTCTACGTAAATCTGTGTGTCCAGAATTGCAGTTTTTAAAGACTCTAAATAAAGCTTCTGTTTGCTTTTCAGTTCTTTTTGTTTGTTTGGTTTGTTTTATTCTCCCCTGAGGATATTTTTTCCAATGCCTTTTCAGAGAGAGAGTGGAAGGGGGAGAGAGAGAGAAACATTGATGTGAGAGAGAGACATCAATTGGTTGCCTCCTGCACGCACCCAATTGGGGCCAGGGATGGAGCCTGCAACTGAGGTATGTGCCATTGGCTGGAATCCAACATGGGACCCTTCGGTCAGCGGGCTGATGCTCTAAGCACTGAGCAAACCAGCTAGGGCTGTTTTTCAGTTCTTGGTCAAAATTAATTGACATTACATGGTGTCAAAAAGTGGGATTCAGAGTGACTTACCTGTCATTCCAGTACCTTCATGGATTTGAGTTAGGTACCAACAAGGGTCCATTGCCCTCTGTTGTCTTCCTGGTGGTCCCAGATCATTTTGGTAAGTTATCCTGGATCGGAATCTCCCTCCTTGGTTGAGGTTCAGGCTCTATTTGGGCATCCTCTCTTGTGGGCTTTTGTGTGTGTGTGTGTGTGTGTCTATGGGACTTAAAATGCCTGTCTGGTGAATAATTACTCTTTTAAAAAATGGGAGGTTCACTTTAAAAAATATATGTTTTTATTGATTTTAGAGAGGAAGGGAAAGGGATAGAGAGAGAGAAACATCAGTAAAAGAGAGAAGCATCAATTGGCTGCCTCCTGCCCTGACCTGGAATCGATCCGGTGACCTCTTGGTTCATGGGTCGATGCTCAAGCACTGAGCCATACCAGCCTGGCGGGAAGTTCACTTTTAAGGGATCAGCTGCTGAACACCTACCTTCTGGAACTTGTGCTGGAGCTATGTACGAAATTACAGGCCCTGTCATCTTGCAAAGTTCTATCTTGTTGAACCATAATTACCTGGGATAATACAGTTAAACTGGCCAATTTGGGGCCCTTTTAAAATTCCTATTTTAATCTATTTGCACCGTCAATTGAAAAGACTGCAAAACTAAGCAACCTTATAAGGCAGCAATTTTCAACTGGTGTGCCACAAGAATTTTTAAAACATGGAAGACCTGACTATTTTAGTCAGAGCACTGACCTCTTTTCCCTTAGATTGTCAAATAAAAAATGCCAGCAGCCAATACAACAATAGCTATCGGGTGTAAATGAATCAAAATCATACCTATTATTTTAGTCATATCAGCAAAAAATATATTTTTTGGTGTGCCAAAGAATTTTAGTACTTTATGTGTGCCATGAGATGAAAAAGGCTGAAAATTGCCATTGTAGGAAGTATGTTTTAATTGGCATTTTGAGACCTCCAAATGTACAAATGATTCAAAAATTGCTTCTCTCCAAAACACAAATTCTAAATTAACCAAAGCAAATTCTGAGTTATCTCAGAGGCTTACTCAACTTGAAGAAACTTCTAAATATCCTCCTGATGTCTCCTTATCTACACCATCCTCTCCTTTGCCTCCTGCCTTTCCTTTCCCTCCGTATCCTTCACTCACTCATCTCCCTTTTTATAATGAAGCAACTGAGTCTCCATTAGGTGCCCCTCCCCCGCTCTTACCACC